TGATTGTAGAATCAGGCTGCAACATAACAAAATTGAAAAAAGTGAAGGGGGTCTGAATACTTTCCAAATGCACTGTATTGGCTATGTCTTAGTACATCTTGGCATCAGTTAGAGGAGATGGATGTTGTGAGGGGAGGCTTAGATAATTGGGCTGAGTGAAGGCTGCCTAGCCAAAAACTCCAGTTGCATGTATAAGCAAAGGAAGAGACAACCCTAATAAAGCACTATTTAATTACTTGCCCAGTTGCCAAAAGCAGTGAGGAATTGAGGTGAGTGAATGAAGTATGCACTCCTTGCTAGCCAGGTTGAAAATAGCAGGACTAAGTAAACCTGCTGAGGCTTCTGGTGCAGTTCTGGCATTTTAAGAGTGCCTTCTGTAGGACTTTTTGATATAAGAACGTTTGAGCAGTGGAACTGATTACCAAGAGAGGAGGTGAGGTACTATTTACTCCATGCGGTAAAACAGAGGCTGGACATGTATCTGTTGGAGATGCTTAAGTTTGGATTTCAGCACCAAGGGGGTAGGTAACTCTTCCCAACCCTGTGATTCTATGCTATCAGGATTTGCTCCTAAAGCCTAAACTAGTAATGTTTCTGGAATCTGTCAGGTCCCTTCATAAAGGTTAATCATGCAGGACTGGGACGTCCAGACATTGGCTTTTCAGTCCAAGCAAAGAGATAACCTTGTTCTGCTTTCCTTGTCTATCAGATTTCTGTAAAGCTTGTTGGAGGCAAGTTGCTGTTTTACGATTATGCTGGCAGTATGTTATTTGATAATTTTGTCTCTTGACCAAATTGAACCATTAAAGGAATGTGACAGAGCTCTATGTAGTTGGATATTTTACAAATTGTAGCAGCTTAATAAACAGTGTTCAATTTAGAAAAAGAAAAAAAGGGAAATGGAATACACACAGACACACACAACCAGAAATATTGGTACCTGTCCATTCCCCCCCCCCCAAAATCCCAATTTGCTGTGAAATAAGTTGAAACTGGAAACAAGTAAATGGCATCTACCATTCTTTGTTCCATAGACCTGACACTAGATAAAAATGGCATGGAGATAGTTATTGGTATCCCTAACCTAATATTTCCCTTTTGAGACCCTTTTGAGATAATAACTGGAATCAGGGGCTTTCTATAGTTCTGAAAAAGAGTTCTATCCCTCTCAATTTGTCCCATTCTTCTTGAGCAAACTGCTCCAGTTGTCTTAAATTTGATGAGCTCCTTCTCCCAACTGTGAGTTTCCACTCTTTCCACAGATGCTTTATTGGATTCAGATCGAGACTCATGGCAGGCAACTTCAGGACTGTCCAGTATTTGCTTTTCAACCATACTTGGATTCTCTTAGATGTATGTGTTGGGTCATTATCCTGCTCCAGGACCTATGACTGAGACAGAGCTTTTTAATACTGGGCATTATGTTTTGCTCCGGAATGCCTTGATAATCTTCTGATTTTATGGTGCCCTGCACAGATTCAAAGCACCCAGTGCTGGAGACAGCAAAGCAGCTCCATAACATTATGGAGCCTCCTCTATGTTTCAAAGTAGGGATGATGTTCTTTCCTTTAAAAGCATCATTTTTTTTTCTTTGAACATAGAGCTTCTGTGACTTACCAAAGGCCCTAATTTTGTTTTATCTGTTCAAAAGACATTCTCCCACAAGGATTACAGCTTGTCAACACGTATTTTAACAAACTTCAGTCTGACTTTTTTTGTGACTGTCTTTCAGAAGTGAGGACTTCCTTGGTCTTCTACCATTTTTATTTATTTATCCCAATTGTATACCATGGAGGCCACTTTCAGTCAGACAGTGATGGATGGGACAACTTGATATTGTTGTACGTTGATCTTGGAGGTCAGCCAGGATCTGAAGTTTTCCTTGGTTCTTTCTCCACCATTCGAGCTATCCTTCTGTTCAGTCTGGGGTTGTTTTCCTCTTACCACCATGCCCAGGGAAGTTGGCTACAGTCCCATGGAACTTAAACTTCTTGACAATATTAGCAGCCATGGTCACAAGAACATGAAGCAGGAGTTGGTTTTGTAGCCTTTACCCTTACCGTGCTTGGCTATTACCTTCTTTCTTTCCTCCTCAGACAACTCTCTGCTTTTCTTTCTCTTGTCCATGTTCACTGCGCTGCACACAATGACACAAAATGCCTGAATGATTACTTTTCTTCATTCAGAGAGACTGAGTGATTGATTATGAGATTGAAGACACCTGTGATACTAATTAAACAGTCTGCTTGAGTGATCACTAAAATCCAATAATGTATTTTAATTTCTAAAGGCTACCAGTAATTATGTCCATGCCATATTCATGTATTATTTGCAAGAATATGGGAAGTCACACATCAAAAGCAAAGCTTTTGCTGTATGGGCTGTGGAATAAAGAATGGTGGATTCCATTTCCTTGTGTCACTTTCAACTTATTTCAACTCAGTTGGGAAGTCTTTGGGGAAAAGTGGAGGGATACCAATACTTTTGGCTCTGTGTGTGTGTATAAGTTATGGCGTTTATTGTAGAACTGTGAAACAGGACTGAAATGGATTCAGAATCCAATCCAGGCATTTGGGTTTAGGAAAACAAGGCTTTTAGTCTTCAGACTAATTTTTTAAATCAAGTCAAACCAATTTTTATTTTGGTCACTGATTGTACATAAAAACCACAAACTAAATGCATGTACCAAACAGGCAACAGAAAATACAAGCAGTCTTCAAATAATATTGTCAACAATCCTTCTGACCAGTCCCTGATGAGTGCAACAAGCACTCAAAACAAATGTGGAAACTTCCAAAGTGATTTCATTGTGTTGGTTGGATAAAAGTTACAAAGCATAAAATCTGTCAGGCTGACTTTGGCATTTGTTAGAGAAGGAAATCTGTAATGAATATCCTTCTAGTATTTACAATACAACAAAACATGAACTATTGTTTCAATTACTCTGGAGCTGCATGAACCTATCCTTTCTGAATGTGTCAATTTCGTATATTTTCCTGAGAAGCTGCTGGACGGTGCATAGTAAGGATTTTGGCACAAGGAGCTGATTTAAGAACTGGAATCTTGGCTTGTAATCTGAACTGATCCAAGACTGATCCTGTTATGCTGCTCCAATCAGATTGACAATCTGTGTTGATGACCTTTGCTCTAAGCTCCATTCAGCATAATCACAAGTTACTGTGCTTCTAAGAAGTTTTACTGGTACAATTTTTTCTCCTACTTTGGCTTCCCAAATTAGGAGAATTTATCTTACAAAATGTTGGGTGCTAAACCTTGTAGACTGAAATATAATGTTGGTCAAAGATAAACAATTCATACCCACTGATTGGACTCAACACTATTTATTCCTGCCTTGTTGCAGGAAACTGCATTCAAGATGAAGCAAGGGATCCAGGAGAAAGATCTTAACAGCTTTGGTGAAACTGATTCCAAATGGATAATTTTTTTATATGGATCCCATTTGGGTACAAGGTTTGGCTGAGAAAACTTTAATTGCTGCAGGTGTGCTGAAAGAAATCAGATGGCAATGGCAGTCTTGGGGACACTTAAGTCAAATGTGTATTGTGTGATATTGAAGACCACTTTTTTTAAAAAAATGGCCAGTACCGCTCTTCTCCCTACTCAGCTTTCAAGCAAGGCAAGGCAGACCCTTGGCTCTCAAATCAGTTCAAAGAGGGTTTACTTGGAAGTTCTCAGCTATTGTGAGACAAGCATATGTGACTAACTACGGTCAGTGTTTCACAGCAGTTGTAAACAAGTAATGGGAACAGTTGATAATGGCACAGGATACTTTTTTAAGAGAATGTGCTTTGTGGAGTCCTTGGTGCTCTCTGAGCTTGGTTGTTTGATTGTAGACATTTCATTACCTGACTAACATCATCAGTGCTAGTGAGTGTGGGGAGGGGGGTAAACCCCATACTCACTAGCACTGAAGATGTTACCTAGGTGGGTAATGAAATGTCTGCAATCAAACAACCAAGCTCAGAGAGCACCAAGGACTCCACAGTTCAACCCTGGGCTACATGTATTCTCTTCTATTGGTAGAATGTGCTTTGACTCTGTTCATCAGGAGAATCTACAGAACGTAGGCATGAACTAAAATGTGTGGAATACGATCAAAGAATTAATCTTGAATGGAAGGAATGACAGTGGGGACACTCCCACCCACTGCTTCCTTGTTACAGCTGAGATGGCTTTGAAGATGAACTTTTCTGATAGTAGCAGTAGCTAATTCCCTATGAGTGAATTTAAAGACAAATTATTGACTTTTGACAGGCCATTTTTGTCTAGTAAATTAATAATACACATATTTTAAAAACACTTTGAAGGGAGAACTATTAACTATTCTTAACTTTAGCTGTGTTCTGATATTTAGTTTGATATTTTAATTAAAAAGATTTCAATTTTATACATAAGCACACTGACATGTAAGTTCCTTTTTAATGTAATGCTAATCTTAAACATATTATAAAGAAATGCCTGTGTAGTCAGTATTTGCAAATAAGAGATATTGTTCTAAACCACAAAGCGTAAGAAGGGAAGCCTCTGATGTGTCTTGTAATGTGGTTTCTGGCATCTCTCCGTCTGATTTTCTGCTAAAGCCCAAGAGAGAGTTTTGCCATAAAAATCTGGCCATGTCTACTCTGAAGTAGGCCCCATTGGGTATGATGGGGCTCCCTACATGAATTACATTAGTTTGCAGTCCTAAGACATCGCAGGTGCTGTATTTGCACACAGCACTAAATCAGAACCCAGGAAAATTGTGGTAGTTTTGTGGTTTCTCCCAGACCAAAATGGACCCTGGTATCTGGACAGTACAGCAATTCATGACCCTTTGTTTGGATGACATGCTGAGCTCTCAGTTCCTGGTTAGATACTTTAGTTGCAGGAGAAGGAAAGCCGGAGCAAATGGACAGCTTACATCTTTGTAGGATATGCATTGTATTGCGTTTTTCCACATCAGATCTCTACATTTGTTCTAAGTGCAAAGAAAAACGAAAACAACTTACATTGTTTACTGTATCTTCCAAAAGCCAATGAATTTTGTTTTGATTCCAAACTTCATAGGAATTTGGAAATAATGAATAAGATGCATTCCTGATATTTAGACTAATTAGACCTTTCTTGTGTTTTCCCTGCAGACTTATTCTATGGCTGTCTACCTTGTCAAACAGCTGTCCTCTACTGTGTTGCTACAGAGGTTACGAATAAAAGGCATAAGAAACCCTGACCATTCCAGAGCACTAAGTATGTCTACTGTATGCAAGTTCCAAACATAAAATTATTTCAAGAGAAAGACATTGTGATCATTGTCCCTCATACAGACTGAGCAGCTCCTTATAGCTAGTGTTGGTGACCTCCTACAGTAGAAATTGGGCTAGCTTCTTACGATTCTCATGGTGCCTAAGTTGCCCATTCCCCGATCACAGCAGTGCAGTGAGAGATTCCATTTTCTGGGGAGGCCAGGTCTTACTCAGTCGAGTGAGAACATCTTACAAAATAGACCCTCCTGAACTGTAGCAGCTACCTCAAAGTGCATGCTGGATTGACATGCTTTTTTCAAGCCCTACTTTTCTTTTGTTCTCAAGAAGGCCTAGTTCAGGACTGATTCTGTCATGCTTCGTTCACATCAGTGTTTCTCACGCTGGCTGGGGAATTCTGGGAGTTGAAGTCCACACGTCTTCAAGTTGCCACGGTTGAGAAACACTGGTTCACATGGTTTGCCACCTCTTTTCTTCCTCCGCTCTTGCCTTCAATATCCCATGGAGGATATTACTGTCAGCTCTTCAACTGATTAGCTCATCTGGAGACTTCAAACCGTGTTGCTGACTCTTAACTCAAGAAATGCATCATCTTGCTATCCCGGCTTCCCACACTGCCTTTGGCTGTTACCTACCTTCTAATGGTAGTTTTGTTTTTGTTTTCTTCCTTCTTGACAGTCAAAGAGAAGCTAACTGCAGATCCTGACAGTGAAATAGCAACAACCAGTTTAAGAGTTTCTCTTCTATGCCCAGTAAGTGTATTTTTTCTAAAATTGTTTCCCGGTTGCCCTGAGTATCTACTATACAGTGTCACTTTGAATGTTAATTCACTCTATCCTGCAAGAATGTCCCACTGGGAAGATGGGAGTCATCCTCTGGGAGAAGTTGAATGAATTCATTCATGCACACATTCAAGGGAGAGTTTGCTTTCTACTCTCCTGTGCACTTTCTTGCTTTACCTAGAGGCTTTTATTTGGAAATGCCTCTTCTTTTGTTAAGCCAACTTTTATTTGTATTTCAGACTTAATGATTCGATTCACTTTTTTTTCTTTTAAAAGCTTGGCAAAATGCGACTAGCAATACCTTGTAGGTCTCTGACTTGCTCACACCTTCAGTGTTTTGATGCCACCTTGTATATTCAGATGAATGAAAAGAAACCCACTTGGGTGTGTCCTGTCTGTGACAAAAAAGCACCCTATGAACATCTAATAATTGATGGGTGAGTATCTTTCAGAAGCCAGTAACAGTTGATAATTCGGTGGGACAAATACTGTTCTAGAGTCTTCCTGGAAATGTCTAAGGTACTGAAGTTGTATTTTGGTGCTGCCTTTCCATATTAGATCCTAGAGGTTGAACATTGCTTATTAGATATACCTTCTGTGTGATTTCTAAGGAAGCTTCTATGTTATAGGTTGTTTATGGAAATCCTGAAATATTGCACAGATTGTGATGAAATTCAATTTAAGGAAGATGGGTCATGGGCTCCTATGAGATCAAAAAAAGAGGCACAAGAGGTGACAACATCTTTTAATGGTGTAGAAGGTAAGTTTCATAATCACTTATCTGCCTTTCATTTTTTAAATTTTTTTCCTCTTTGCTGCCTTATAAGTGTGTGTCTCATAACTGTGCATTTTGTGGCACTTGGCTTCGACTTACTGTGATTTCAACATTTGACTGTTCCCAGGCTGCTTAAGTTCTTCTGTGGATCATCAGGTGTCTTCTCATCAGTCAAATAAAAATAAGAAAGTTGAAGTGATCGACTTAACCGTTGACAGCTCATCAGATGAAGAGGAGGAGGAACCATCTGTCAAGAGGAGGTGTCCATCTCTCTCTCCTGCATCACCCATTAACAGCAAGAGGTGAGATGGTTACAAATGTTAGAGAGAGACCTATTGCAATCAGGGTTCCAGATAGGATATGCAGACGGAGCTCTCATTTATTTTAGGGTCCTTTATTGCTTCTACCATTTCCAGCGTGGTATTTGGGTGACAAAGTAAGGTTTCCTTCAGTTTCTGTGGCTTTTGACCCACAAATATAAGCTTTTATGAATAGGTGACATATCTGAATATCACTCTGGCAGCTTTTCACAGCCCCATATCCTGAGGGGAAAAAACATATGACTCAGTCAGGTTTACGTTCTGACAAGGCTGTGCTGCAGAAATTATATATGGAATTACATTCACCCTTTCCCAATCTGGGAGGGAGAGATTCCCATAGCTAGTGGCTTTTGGAGACACAGGAGAAATTGATCCCTTCTCAGTTTCTGTGTACTGTAGAAATACTGAAAGCTAGCAGCACAATGCACAAGGCTTAATAAAAACACCATAGATAGTTTTTTTAATGACAAAGTAAGCCCTTGTCAGGTGGGTTTTTGGAAAGACTACCAGTACAAACACCTAGTTCTGAATCTCAGTGTCTGTTGGTACAGGAGATTGTGGGAGGAAGCTGCAGCCATCTTCTGTTTGCCTTCCAAGCTTTCTTTTCCGTTTTAGCCTTTTAAGTCTGCCCCATCAAGTCTCTCCTGTTTCAAGAACTCCCAGCCTTCCAGCTGTCGACACAAGCTACATCAACACATCACTTCTGCAGGACTACAGGCATCCGTTTCATATGACCCCCATGCCTTACGACCTCCAAGGTGGGCTCCTGACTCTTGAGATGTTGAGGATTGAGACCAGAATCTTTTGGGGAATGACAGGATCTTACCTTGGGCCCCTTTCTATGGAGTAAAAGATGTTGAAGTCGGACTACATCTTAGGCTGAATTCTGTTGCTTTTCCCCAACCCATTCTGTTAGTTTGCTTTTGCATTTAGTAAAAGCACTGTGCCTATAATCAATCCTGAGGGATGGATGAAGCAAGAGTGGCTTGCTGTGATCTCTTTCAAATCAGTCTACTTAAAATAAGCACCTCCCTGAGGGGAAAGGTTGCACCTTGCAGTGACTGTGTTAGTCTTTTGCAGCAGAAACAACCAAGACTCTTTGGAGACAAACAAACTTGTATTGAATTGGCTTTTGTGGGTCATAGTCCCTTTGTTATATACACAGAGGAGAGTTGTAACAAAGGAGAATTATTTTATTTTGTTTATTAATTACTACAACTTATATGCTATTCCATTTCTAGAGATTCTGAGTGGCTTTTATAGAAGATTATTTTATCAGAATATTAAAAAATAGAAATAAGTCAATACAGTTTTAACCAGTCAGCCTATGTATCACTATTTGGGGTGTGTGATTGACTTATCCCCAAATGCCTTTCTGAAGAACCATGTTTTTATGGCTTTCTGGAAAGGAGAATGGGTGGTCCAGATATCTGGGAGCAAGCTGTTTGAAGGGAGGGGGATATTACTGCAGAAGCTTGAGTCAGGGGTCCATGAAGGTCACAGTTCCCTTGGCAGAGGAACCCTTCTTGCTCAGACCTTACTGGACAGACAGATTCAACTTGCAGTAGATGGGCACAGAGATAACCAGTCCTGACTTTAAAGGTTACATGCAACACCTTAATTGCACCTAGAAGATAATTGTGCCACTGCGGCCAGTGCAGCTCTTGCAGTAGTGATGTTACTCAGGTGCATCTGTTAACACCCAGAATGCTGCATCTTGCATCAGCTGAAACTTCCAGATAGTCTTCAAGGGTAGCCTCATGTAGAGCACATTGTAGTAATCAAGTCACAAGGTGACAAGAACATGAGTGTTTAAAGCATGAGTAAAACCACCCCATCCAAGATAGGCCACAGCTAGCGCATAACATATAATTGTGCAAAGGCCCTCAAGGGCCTGGCCATGGTTAGGGTTAGGCAGAGCCAGGCACCCAGGAGAATCTCTGAGTTGTGAGCCAGCTCTCTCTGGGGAAGTGCTGCCCCATCCAGAGTCAGCAGGAGCACTATTTCTGATCTTGGTCTGTTTCGGAATCCATAGCCACAGTTTCTTGATAGGGTTCTCCTCATCCAGACTCTAAAGCCTCCAGGTCCTGGATCAGGACCTCCACTGCATTTCTCTGCATCTCTGCCAGGTTTGAGATATCATTGTTAGCATATTGATGATACCTCACCCTGTGCTGGCGGATGGCTTCTCCCAGCAGCACCATGAAAACATTAAAAAATTATATGTGCCCACAATTGTTGACAATGGGGGAGAAGAAGTGGCAGTTGGTGATATTGAGCAAAGCAGTGTTAAATGAGATACATTTCCCAGCAGTTATTTGGTTAAGCCCTGGATGCTGCTGTTTTCTCTGCTAAACTCTGGCTATTTCTTTGAAGAAATGGTTTTCATTTTGTTCCCCACAGGCTTGGATTTCTTTTCTTTCTTACCAGGAGACAATCAGGTATGTTGTACATTAATTTATTTGCAGTATTCATATACTTCCAGAATCTCCAAAAGGTCCCAGTAGTTTAGAGTATAACTAATACATTTTTAAACAATACATAATATAATATCCCTAAATATCCACCCATCCTGGATCTTTATGGTTAAAGCTACAGATCAAAAGCTCTCAGAAACATCTCCATCTTCATGAATACCATCATGTAGGTGCCCTCTAGATCTCTGGAGGAGGCTATTCCACAGGGATGGGGCTGTAACAGAAAAGCATTGTCTTTTGGCCCTCCCCTCTTGAACCTCACATAAGGGTGGGGTGGGGAGTATTGGTAATGGCTGGAAGGGATCAGCAATGCAGCCAGAGAACTGGCTTGATTCTAGAACCTGCAGAGTTTCTGGTCAATTTAGCATCTCCAAAGGAATATTGAGTCAAAGTGAACTATCTGCTGGTATCCGGTCTTAGAAGCAGCATGCCCCCCTCTGGGCCCTTAGAGTGCTTGTGTCTGCAACAGCCTGTTTATACTGCGCTTGTGGTCACATAGCTACTGAGGGAATTTGATGTGATTCATTAGGATTCTTTTGAAATGTAATATTTTGAAGACCATAAATGTCTTGGTGCACTAAAATGCACTACTCTGGTGCTGGTGTCCACTGCATTACAAAAGTTGTCTAAAATTTTGCCAGTGAAGTTCAGAAAGGAGACCTCCTCTGCCCAGCCCAAATCTTGCTAGCTTTCCATTATCTCCCCTCTTGGCATTTAATACATCTCCCAGTGGGCCTCAACCTTCTTTCCTAGGCTGTGACTGATACTCAGAGAGCACCCAGTCTTCATCTCTGGCTGTTGAACATCGGAAGCACACCCTTTGTCTGTTGCTTCAGAGCTAAGATTTAACAGGGCCTTTCCTTGTCATGGGCTTGGGAAGCATGTAAATGCCATTCCTACAATCCAGGTTTGGGCTGATAGCAAAAAGTGTCTAGGTGTCCTTGATCCTCATTGCTCACATCAGTTTTTTATCTTCCGCCCAGCATTACAGCACTTCCATTTTGGCTGCCGCCGCCGCCGCCGTCTCCACTTCCGACGATCAAGAACTCTTGCACTCCCGTTTTTTCCCCTATACTTCATCGCAGATGTTCCTGGATCAGCTGAACACTGGAGGGAGCACTGCTCTCCCTACCACAAATGGCAGCAACAGCGGTAGCAACAGCAGCCTCGTGTCCTCCACCAGTATTCGGGAGGCCCACGGTCACCCTGTGGCCGGCAGAAGTAGCACAGACCCAGCTTCTCTCTTTGGCGTAATCCCAGACATTATTTCTTTAGACTGAGTTCTGTTGAGCCGTCACTGGACTTGTTGGTGAAGAGATTTGCGATTTTGTTTTACCTTATTTTGTTTAGAAATGCAGATAAGATTTTCCTTTTTTGTAGGGAAAAATATTAAGACGTGTACAGAGAACAAAACTATATTTTCAGTTGTACTTTTGTATATAAACAGAAGATGATTTGATTGGTGAAAAACAAACAAAAAATTAGAAAAGCTCCCAACATAATTGCTTGGGATATGGAAGATTTTTCCCCTCCCTAATTGTCTTGTACGCTGGTGGGCTTGTTTTGAAGCTTTGAACCACATAACCTTTTGTTTGTTCACAGCAGTGCTAATGGAAAAAATGGTGTGCTTGAAACACTGAACATTGTGGAAGGACTGCTAACTCTTGAGGAAACAAATGGCACCCACAATAATTGGAGAGAATTTCTCCTTCCTTAGGGCATGCTCCATTGGGAAAGTTTTCCTGCACAAAGCTTTTGAAACAAATTCAACGTTTGCAATTGAATTGGACCTTCCTGCTTTTCCTCTCTATTTGGTTATCCTGAAATTGGACGGAGGCTGTTTCAGTTACAGAAATTGCATAGCATTCTCTCGTGTGCCAGCTGGATGTAGATTTTTGGAAAGTCTTTCGGCTGTTTGTTCTGGTGTGGATGGTCTGTTCTGAATCTTCCATGTTTCTTCTTCGGACTGTTTTTATTAGCTAGCCCTGCCTTGATTTGCTCATGGATCAGATTTCACAGCTCTGCTCTTTGTTAACCATTTGCCGTTGTGGGGGTTATTCTGCTCTTTTGGATGAGACCAAATGGGTTCTGAAAGTCTAGCTGCCAGTGAAGACTCGCTTTGTTGAGATAGTTCAGCATTGCCTTGGCGCTTAAAAAATGTACATCTGGAGTGCTAAAGACTTTTCTTTCCTTAAAAAAGTGATCGGTGGAATTTTTAGGACATGCTTACTGAATAGAGCCAACCCATCAATATTTAAGAGAAATAATGTAATTTCAATGAATTTATTGTGCAGCTGAGGATCCCACTGGCACATCATGTACACCAGGGTCCAATCCTAGAAGCATTTTTTGGGGGGGTTGGGAAAACGTGCCCTATTGAATTCAGTCGGATTTGGTAGAACTAATTTGAGTAGGATTGGGTTAAAGAGTGGCCCATTAAATTATGACTAAAAGTCCATCCTTTTTTACAGCAGCTTAGTGGAGAGTAGAAGTCAACAAGATGATTATCCCCCTCCCTTCCTTCAAAATGTATTAAATGACTTCACCATTTCTTACCTCATAATTTCTTCTGAAGAAAGATCTGTGTGTTACCCTTTCAGCATTTGTAAATTCCACACTGAGGGATAAATGTTTAGTTACAAAACTTTTTTTCAAGCTGGCTGAATTTTTAAAACATTCTTCCCCAGTTAAATAGCAAAGCATGAAAATGAGGTTTTAAAAGGGAAAGGATGGGGAAGTCAGATGAAATTTGCTGCATCCCAAAACCCATGTTGAGGTTAAAACATTTTATAGGTCACATTTAAAACCAAGGTTTACAAATGATGAAGATTTCAGTGGGAGGAAGCAACGTGGTAAAACAAGGCAGGCTTTTTGTTTCATCTTAATCAGAAACCATGTTAGCTAGTTCTTTGAACCAAGTCTGCAAATGATAGTATTTTTTCCAAACTTTTATTTTCAAGGCTGTTTTTCAGTGAAACTTTAAATCAGTAACAAGCTACCAACTTTTAATCACAAATGAACTTTTTTTATATAGACCACAGAAATATTATATTGGATTTTCTAAAACATGTTCCATTTTCCATTTCCATTTTGATTTGAATTTTAGGAATGTTTGTTTATATGTACATGCGTGTGTATATATGTATTTATAGATATGTTCGTGTGAGAGCGAGGGTGTGTATTCTGTTCCATGCATGTGTTCTATTAATGTGTGGCCAATGTTTCCTTGCTAGTTTCTAATTTATTAAATGGCAGTAAAATTTAAAGAAACAAGTAGAAATCAGTAATATTTTCTAAATTCACTATAGCTTGGGGCATTAAAACTAATACTGGCTTAAGAATTATACCTAACATTTAAAATTTCTCCTCTGTGTGTTCCAAGTGAAGATTGGAAATGGCCTTGTTTGAAGCCAGACGTATGGAGGCAGAGCCAGAATTGGCACCATTCTCTTGAAACTCTGTGGCCTTCTATCTGACATTTCTGCACAGTCCAAATAATTGCTTTTATTAAATGTGGAAACAGATGTCTGAATATATGTCTACCAAACACATTGTAAGATGCACACTTTCCAGGCTGCTAAGCCGGAGAATATAGCCACAGTGTATATAAAAATGAGTCGCAGTTGAGCTCCATGTATAGTGATGGAGCGTCAGTACATACAAACGCATTGGGCAAGTAGCAAGTAGTCGTCTGAGGTGTGTTTGCACTGACAGTGAATCATACGGTGCTGTGCTCTGCTGCTGTGTCAGTCCTCCTCTGCATCTGCATCTACCATAACGAGCTTGTTGAGAAACCTTTTCAAGATGCTGCCAGGAATTTCTGCACTGCTTTGAGTGGATTAGTGGGTAGGACGTTGAGCTTCCTCTCCATGTGACTGAGGCGCATTCTGGGCTTGGGGGAACTCCGGGATACTTGATTTTGATCCGGCCCCCAGTCTGATGAAAAATTGTGTGTTGCTGGAGACATAGGACTTGCTCCATGTTAAATTAATTGGATAAATCGTGAAACCAAAAGTGCCTCCTGCTGGTACTCAAGCTTTTCAACAGACCAGATAAAAGCCATCAGTTACTGTAAAGGAATGGGAGAGGTTGCACCTGAAAGCAGCATTGATAACTTGAATGTGAGAAATTAAACAACATCCAAAATGGAAGCTTGAGGTAGCTAATGATGCTTCCTCCTTCACCTCCTAAACCTTTCAGCATAAATGAGACCTGGGAAGTTAGTTAATTCAAAACATGCATCTGACTTGTGCTTTGGGAGTCACAACAGTTTTGACTACAGGATTTTCTTCTGTAGTAAGATTTCCTTGCCAAAGTAGTTTTTGATAATTGTGGAATTTTTCTGGGAGTCAAGGCATATGTTTTGTTTAATTTGACCGTGTAAGATATATTCTATGTATTTCATAATGTATATTTGCTTTGGAGAGGAGGGAGCTTATTTTTTCCAACAGAGAGGTGTGTGTGTGTGTGCACGCGTGCGGGTGTGTGTGTGTGTGTGTGTTTATTGCTTGCTTGTATGTCTTGTTTGTACTCTCTGTATGTTGTGCTCTGTGTGTACACACAGATGCAGGATTCTTCTATAATAAATAGAGTGATTTTGAATCACTTCTGTGGGCATTAACTGGACGCATAGTTTTTCTTTTTAAAAACCTAAATGCAAAACCAAAATTGCAACCCAGTCTCTCAGTATTTTCATGGCATTCCCATGTTTCTTCTTTACCCTACTGAAACATAAATACCTTATCAACCTGAAGCTGATTCTTGCTAGTAATTCTTTGGCTAAGCTTTTTCATTATATTAAGCATTTCATAGTTTTTCATAATAAAATTTGAAATTATGGTTTCTTAATTGTTTTATTTTTCTTCAATAAGAGCTTTGATTTCTATGGAAATAAAACTGCCAGAGGCCCCAATGTGTGCTGCTGTTAATTGTTCTGATTAACAAAAGGGAAGACATTATGTATATAAAGTGAAAACAAAAAAAAAAGTGATTCCATAAACTCAGATCTGTGATTCATTGCCTTAAACTTTCTCCTAAGTTTCCATACAGCATGCCAAACAAGTTTTAAAAAGTGGCTTTTAAAAATGTATAGTAGACTGATGTCAGTTTGTATAAAAGTACCAAGTGAAAATATTTATTACATGCATTGGAAGAGAAATGGTTTACCCTATTGAATGTTACTTGTTTATGTAAAACATCTTTAGATGTAATAAAAAACATTATTACATTCTCTCTTGTGGAATAACTTTCTGAGGATACACAATACTGACACTGTTTTTGCAGAGATAAATTCTTAAGTAAATATGCAATGACAGAAAAAGAAAATGAGTGCAAGTTGAAAGAACCTTAATTGTAGCTTTCTCCTTCTGCCTGGTACATCTGTGTGGCTGCACAGCTCCTTGTTACAAGGTGGTTCTTAAAACCTATTCACAGCCTCTAGTTCTGCGTAGCTGCTTCTGATGCCGTAGCAAAGTGCTTATCGCACCACATTCAATGACCACACCACTGCTGAATAGTGCAGATTTCTTATAATATGCTACCTCATGAATCATACTTTATGGATTGCATGATACTGAAAAATACTTCCAGTTCTTGAGCACCTTCTTCTGGAATACTTAAAAATCAAAGGAACTTAGTAGAAACAGAAAATCAAAGAAACATAGTAGATTTTACACAGAAAGAGCCAACATCCCTGCCTTTATTTAGCATCCTCCTCCTTTTTTGCCACAAAGCATTTATTTTTTTAAGGCAAAAAGGCAGACAAGCACCAGGTTCCAAGAAGAATTGATGAAGGTTGCAAGCCAGCATGGTTGCCATCAGCTGAGAATCTTTTTGTAATTCAATAATCATCAACTGGAAGTGTGATTGATTGAATTAAGTCTTCATACTTCACTAATCCGTTGTGTCCTACTTTGGCATTCTTCAAGAGGGTGTTCACTGTAAGCAATGGCAGAATAATTGAACCACTTCAGATTATAGATATCCAGACTATGTATTTCAGATCTTTAATCAGGGTGTCAAGTTGTGGATGGGTGGGAGGTGAAATGATGATGATGCAACAGTTAAAAGAAACAATTGAGGGAATAGGCGGTTCCCATGTTCAGCACCAAAGGCATGTAATGTAGGAATACAGCAGGCTGAGGTCTGGGATGGGACTAGCTTGGGAATGCAGCGCATGTAACTCCAAAGTCACAGGTGTATAGATTAAAGCTAAGAACAAACTAGAGAGCCACTGCCAGTGATTGACCTAGATGAGTCAATGACTGAAGCTGGGAAGTGATTATTATAAACAGGATATCTAGCAAGGAAGAGGAGGAGGATTGGTTAACAAAGAGCCTCTTGGTTGCTCCCAGTCACAAAATATCTTTTTCTCCATGTTTCCTAGTCATCTAACCCATAAAACCACTAACTCTGCTTGTATCATACACCTCCCCTGTGTGTCTTGTAGTTGATGGTGCTGCTTTTGTTCAGAGACACCTTGGATTGGTGCCAGGCTTAGGTCATTCGGTTTCTCTTAGCACAGAGTCTGAAACCGCAAACCCCTCTAACAGTTCCATGGAATTAAAATGTTTAGTACGTGATAGAAAAATATTAAAAATAGAGGAAATAATCATGAAATGTATGTAATTGATTGAATTTGAATTTAAATTAAATCACTTTTAGTTTTTATCCCGAGTGCTTATTTTTTGGAATCTGGCCGTCCACCTACTACTGAAGATCTTAAAAGGATGATAAAGATTTCTTTGGTTTTTCTTACACAGACAATGGATGGCTAGTTTAAAGGCTAACCTACTCTACCAGTTGACAGAATGGCCCAAAGTACTACATCTACTACTGAATAAAAACAAACCTATAGGAAAGGGTTAGTATTCTGTGGTCTTCTCCAGTTTTATCATTATGATATGCTGGATTATAATATTTATACTGGTTGGATACTCTGGAAGATACAATCCCCACACAACTGGAAGACATATTCACAGCAGGTGAGAAGACTAGTACACATTCTCTCTCTGGCTGCTGGCTTTCCCCAAGCTGGCTGAAGATGATGCCCATGGGAGTCTGGTACATCTGGATGATACCAGGTTGGGGAAGACTCAGGCATAAAAGTGGACAATTAGGAGGCAATGATTTGTAATAGCCATTGATCTCTCCCTCTTCCCTTATATCTTTCCCTAACTGGAAAAAGCCCTCTTCCAAGGCTCAAGACACAGAGATCTTTGCAGGAGACTTACCCTCTTCTTTGGATAGCTTTTCTCCAAGGTTCATCAGCTTAGCCTGCAGCTCAGCCACTGAGATGAATCCAGTCTTTTGCTGGTCTACCATTAACATGGCCAAGAGGATTTCATTCCTTGGATCTTCCTGCTGTGTTTGCCTATACATGATGGTCAGGAAAGTTGAAAAATCCAGTTCTGCATTGATATCTGTAAGTGAGAAGGAAGGAGCAAACGGCCAGCACTGTATAAGGAGATCTTATTATTAAAGGCCATCAGCTGGTGTGTCATGTAAATTAGAGTAGGCTGCCCGTGATCTTAAGCTTGCATGGAACCTAGAACCAAATCTCAGTATCAGGGCTTCCTGCCATTTTGAAGTAAGGAAATGCATGTAAAGGTTTGAATAAGCTTTGAAATAGTCTTCATACAGTAAGGAATGCAACAGAAGATTCCTGATCTCCCCAAACTCTGAAAAAAGTAGAAAATCCCAGCCCTGCCTGCCCTTAGTGATATAGTTCTGTCTTTACAGACCTTGCCCTGCCCCCAAGTGTCAAGTGTGGGTCCAGGCACCAAAAGATTTGTGCTTCAGGCTAACGTCCTAGTTTCCCAGATTGACTAACTAGATGCCTTTAAAAAAAAAAAAAGGAAAGTTCAACTATAAGTGGTTTGGGCTCTGAAGATTTCATCAAACTGCTCTTCTAACCATTGGGAAGGCTCTTCTCCTCCCCTCCCCCCCATGATTAGAAGAGGATAGTTCAATTAAACCTTCAGAGCCTCAAACTACATCACCTTTGATATTTGTTTTCAGCTGATCTCTCCTTAAAGCACAGAACTGTTTTCATTTTATTTCGATCATGCCAGAATCCAAAGAAATAAAATTTGCAGAATCAATCCAAAGATGACTTATAACAAGCTCTTCACATTTCTTTTAACAATTTTACATGTCGATTGGAGTTCTACAGATCCACTTTGCCAATAGTGACTTCAGTCGAGCAGAAGACAAAAAAAAAAACTCCAATTCATTTAAATTGTATAAATCTGTGGAACAAAAACTGTTGAGGTTTGCATTTCAAAAGCTTACTGTGTTCCCAGCTTAGAAAGTAACCTTAGAAGGGTAAAACTGCCACAAGGCAAGAATGCAAGATTATTTTCAAAAGGGCTTATTTTATTTAGAAAGATAACAAACCACGCAGTAGAGAATATATATAGCTCCAGGTTGAACTGCGGGTTCTTCGTATTCTCTGAGCTGGATTGTTTTCCTGCAGATATTTTGTTACCGGAGCGTGCGCTCATGGCGTTACCTGGCCTAGTAATGAAACTTCCTGCAGACAACTTTTCTGCAGAAAAACAACACAGCTCAGAGAATACCAAGAACCCAACAGATAACACCCTTACATGAAGGGTAGAATGTGTGACACAACAGATGTTGCAAAGGAGGATTGTCATAAAGACGGCACGGGGCTATAGCGCTGCAGGTTTGGCTGCTGAAATATTGAATATTTCAAAACTGGTGAAGGACAGTTCAACAGGGGGTTTGAATATTAAATCTGGCCACTTGCTTTGTTAAAGCAAAGGGAGCTAGAGCTATTGACCATTCTCAGAAGGTTGCTCATAAACCTCAAGATTCCTTCCACGGAGACTTTGTGGTCCTTTTCCGATAAAGACCCCTGGTTGTATATTTATAAATTATTTTTCAAAATTATTTCTACATATCTTCTTAAAGAAAAAGATGAAGTGTTACAAGGCACAAAGAGTCTGCAGTAAATCTGGAAAAAAGCCTGAGATCAGGCAAACTGAGCATGGTGGAAACTTGCTGGAAAAGGACAGTGAACCACACGGAAAGGACTAAGGCATTAAGCAGCAGGAAACAATTCTCTATATCCCAGAATAAAAAAGTGTGGCAGAAGGAAAGAGCACAGTGGGAAATGAGAATTGTGTTTATAATCGCTAGAGCCTGATGCAAAAAGCTTAGACCAAGAGTTTCTTAAAAAGTGGTTTACACAAAATATACTCAAGATTCAAAGATTGAGAAAGGGACATATTTCCTAACTTATATTGTTGACTTGATTTTATGTTTTGCAGATAAAAAGAATAATCAAAGTATACAGTTTATCCAGTCTTCTCCTCCTTCTCCTTCTCCTTCTCCTTCTCCTTCTCCTTCTCCTCCTCCCTCTTCCTATTTGGCTTTATCTTTTCTGCCTCATCCCTGCTACTCTTGAGATGCAGTGGCCAGAACTATACACAATATTCTGAATAAAGCTGAGATGTGCAAGCTTTATGAAGCCCGAGTTTGCAGTTTAAAAAAAAAAAAGCTAGGACGTGAAGTTGACATTTTCCACCTCTATCCTCTCTTTCTGGAGGAACTTTAAATTTGCCAACTTTAGTGTTAGATAGGGTGGCACTGCCCAAACAGACCCTGTTCACCATCTGGGGGTCTTTCTGGGCTCACAATTCCTGCTCAAGGAGCAAGTGGCAGTCACGGCTAGGAGAGCCTTTGTGCAGCTTCGTGTTGTGTGCCAGTTGCACCTGTTCCTTGACTGGGAGGCTCTACCCTCAGTCACTGATGCCCTGGTCACCTCCAAAAGGACTACTGTAATGTAAATGGCAAACTACATGGACTGCCCTTGAAAATGCGGTGGCACAGGGCAGTTACGTGTGCCCCTAGGTCTGCACGTGTTACACCTCTGCTCCACAAGCTGCACCGGCTGCCAGTTTGCTTCCAGGTTCAATTCAAGGTGCTGGTTTTGACCTTTAAAGCCCTACATGGCATGGGACCAGGGTGTTTCAGGGCCCACTTCTCCCCGGTTACATCTACCTGTCCCATTAAGTTCAGCAGGAGAGGCACGTTACAGATCCCGTCTGCGAAGGAGTTCCATCTGACGGGACCCAGCCCAGGAGACGAGCCTTTTCTGCCGTGGCTCCCGCCCTCCGGAGCATCATTCCCCCTGAAGTCAGACTGGCCCCAGGCTTGTCGGCCTTTCAGAAAAGCACGAAGACTTGGCTATGCCTTGGTGGTGTGGAGCTTGCTGGATGGTTTGTAAGGCTCTGTGTGCACTCTTCCGTGTTTACAGTTTTTAAGGGTTTTGTTTTTAATGGTTTTGTTATCATCGTTCGGCAGTTTTTTGCTCTTGCTATTTTAATTGTGTAGCCACCCAGAGTCACTTATGTGAGATGGGCGGCTCTATGATTAAATAAAGGCAAAATAGCTGTATTAAGCATAGTGGAGATTTAACCCACTTATTTTACTTTTAATTTGGAAAAATCATGCTGAGAAAATCGAACTGTTGCCAGATTTAAGTGGCACAATGAAAAAATTGGGGCTGGACCTATGATGAGCCGAGATCTATGGCTCATCCACCCCTGAAATACTGTTACGTTCATATTATGATCAAATATAAATTTCAGCCCTTTTCTAAATTATCCTTAATGTAGGCCTTTCCCTTTTCTCATCTGTTGAACTTTTAAGGTGAATTAATACATTTACTGCCGCAGCAGACCATTCCCGTCTGAGGAATAGAATAACATATATTGGTAGGGAGCCCAAGGTAGTTTTTACTTTGCCAGTTGCTGTAACACATATATTTTAAAGGTAAAAGGAAATCAGCCTCTGGTATCAGTCTCATCCTAGAAACGTGCTCCGCTTTAATTCTAACCCATTTTCCAGGTACAATTCTTGAGGCTTGAACTGACTGCTGTAACTCCAAAAGTGTGATTGTCCCCACGCAGATTTTATCAGCCGTCTGAGTGTCAATAGTCCACTGCCCCAGCTGCATCACTTTATACCAGGGATACATAACCGCATTCCCTGGAGCCCTTCCAAATTATACACTCTTTTTATTGTTGTAGGAGAACACATCCCTGGGGAGTAGTCATATAAATTACATTTAATGTTAATTAAATACTTAAATTTGGCTGATCTCCAAAAGCTAAGCAGGGTCGGATGGGAGACCAGGGGAAAGCCAGATAGGGAAATCTTCCCTACACTTACCGATTTTGTGGAGCTGAAGGTGTCTGGCCACCTCCCCTAGAGTAGGGCTCGTGCCCAGGCTGCGCATGACCACCATCAGATCACTGGCCTTGATCCTGCCTTTCTGCTTTCTGTCATACAGGGAAAAGCATTCCTTGAATTCTGTTTGGGAGAAAAGGAGAAGGTCGGTTGGATGATCTCTGGTGTTCTGAGGCAAGGAATTGTACAGCTCTCCTTTGGCGAAGGTGAGTTGTGGGCTGAATTCTCCACAATAGGGAGGCTAAAGTCCGTTATTTCCATTAAAGCTATGATTTAATTAATTAATTAATTTCATGCAGTTATTATGACTATACCCTGTAAAAGCACAGTCTCCTTCAACCTTGACTCTTGATGTCTACAAAGGATGGATGTGTCTACAAAGTTTTCTTGGCAGCAGTGCAGAAGTGGTTCACCATCCTCATCTTCTACTATGTGTTCCTGACTTCTTAATTTAGCCTACAACTCTGAGACTTCCTTCTAGTCTCCCATCCAAGTACTAAGCAAGCTATATCCTGCTTAGTTTTTGAGCCCAGAGAAGGTCTTCCAGGGGCTGTTACTTGCTGAGGCATTCACGCACATATTATTTATTTGTTAGATCTATGTTACAGCTTTCCTCCAGGTGCGTTATATAACACTGTCCTCCAATTTTTCCCACAACAACCCTGTGAGCTAGGTTCATCTGAGAGTAGTTGGTTTAAAGTCACCCAATGAGCTTCCATGGCTGATATTGGACTTGAATCTGAGTTTCTACCGTCCTAGTCCAATAACTTAACCACCACACATGACGTTATTAAGCTAGCTAGTATGGTGTAGCTAACCCACAGTTGTAGGTGACTTCCTGGTCCTCCTACCTTAGTTGATGGCTGGTGCCCGCCTGAGTCTAAGCCATTGGCAGTGATCTTCTTGAAAGTGCCCCGACCTATAAGATCGCTTGCCTTTCTTCCAGGAATCTACCAGGTCCCTTCTGTCAGGTCATTTATTCTTTTTTTCCAAGCAATATAATTGCTGCATAGCAACCCTTTGAAAAGCCTTGACAATACAGCAAGAAGTCAATGTAATACTAACTTGACACTGAAATGCAAGGCAAGAATTGTAGCGTTTTTAAAGAATAAAAGGAGTACAACCAACACTGTTCAGATGCCAGTTGCAGGGGGGTTTTTTGGATGAAGTTGCACAAAATACTTTCCATGACATGTTTTTGAGATAATTAAATAGACACATTAGTGGGCAAGAAATCTAAAAGAGCCCCAAATGGGCATCACCTCTCTTGGTACAGATTATTCCATATGGAAGTGGAAAGGGATCTGGTCAGTGGTTGATGGGACGCTTCACCCAAAAAAGCTGATCTGAAGTTTTTTCAAGGAAGAGCAGGACACAAGCAGTAAGGAGAGGGGTTAGGGTCATTAGCCGCCCCTTTTCAGTTAGCGAGATACATACCGTTGATCTGATCCTGGGTTAGGAATTTTGCCTGCAAGACAGAAAAGGAACGACAACAATGAAATAACTTCCTTCGGCTCTACAGAATAAGACTCCCCACCCAGCCAGCCACAATTCTGGGCAAAATGTCCCCAGTCACCATTGGAAGAGTTTGGAGCCTTCCTTGTGCAGCCGCAGGTCCTCCCCGGGCTGCCCTGCCTGCCTTCCACGCCCAGCTTCCTCACTGATTAAGGGATAAAGTCCACCCATCCCAGAGAGCGGCACCAGGTGTAATAAATACCTTTTGCTGCCATGGATACGATCCAGCTTGTGGGTCAAATTTCAGCCGAAGCCACAGCTGCTAGCCAAGCAGCAACCGGATCGTGACTGTTCTGTTTTTGCAGGAATTATTTTTCAGCTCTTGGCAAGGATTTGAATTTTTTACCACAGAGGGTAGAAAACAATTCCACGTGTTAAATGGAACCATCTTCCCAAACCCATCAAATACTTAGTTGGATCCCAATGGCTTCGCAATCTCCAGCCTCTTTCAAGACAACTCAAGTAGGGCTTCGATCCAAGCGTGCTCTTTTGCAAACCCTAAACACAGTGGCTACAAAAGGGGGTCACTCCATTACAAGTCCGCTTCTAGGCATCGGAACAGGCTGAAAGGGAGAAATGCCTGAATATTTAGAGTTACCTAGCTAAAATTCCATCTTTTTTCTCCAGGAGACATTTTGAGCACAAAATGGCAATGTGAGAGTATATTCTGACTTCTGTGGCACAGGTAAGTACCCTGAGGTGAAGAGGAGCTAAGCAGCAGCATCTCCCTTGTTAATGAGAGGAAACTGCCACCATCTTGATCTTCCGTGCAGAAATGGCTTGGGCTGGTTCAATGGCTGTTCTAGAAGCTCACGTAACAAGCACAATCAATAAACATGAAGAATTCAGCAGTAAGTAAAGTATAGCTTCACAGCATGTGAGGGTTGAAAGGGATTTTGGAGACCATCTAGCCTATCCCCCTCCCCACTGCAATATCCACTACTACAGCACCCCTGAGTGATGGCCATCCAGCTTCTGCTGAAGCACTTCCAGCAAAAAGGGTCTACCACCTCCTGAGGCAGTTGATTCCATTGCTGAATGACCTTTATTAACTTGTATTGTAGGAGGAGAGCCATATTAATCTATAGCAGCCAAAGCTCAAAAGGAACAGTAGCACTTTTCAGACGAACACACTTTATTCAAAGGAGTACAAGCATCAGATTCATGAGCTCCCACAACTCCAGGAGGCCCTGTCCCACTGCTGAACAGCTCTCAGAGTCATGACAGTCCTCATTTTGAGTTGGCTCTCTCTCTGTAAAACAACTACCCATCGGCTCTTGCCCTATCCTCAGGTACCACAGAAAATGAATCCGTACCCCTTCTCTGAGGTGACAAGTATTAGAAGACTGCTATCATGTCTCCCTTTTTTAGACTAAACATATCCAGGTCTTGTCTCCAGGACCTCACTATTCTTGTTGCTCTTCTCTGTACTCTTTCCAGTTCTTCAGCATCCTTATGATGCCCAGAACTAGAAAAAAATATTGAATTGTGGTCTGACTACTGCAGAAGAGAAATGATGTCTTCCCTTCATTGTGACACTATACTTCTGTTGATGAAGCCTTGGATTCAATTTTTTATTTTTGGAGCTAATCACTGTTGGCTCACATTCCATTGTGACCTCCAAGACACCCAGATCATTTTCACATGTGCTGCCCAGGACAATCCCCTCCATTCTATATTCATGCCTTTAATTTGTCCTACCCAAATGTATTGCCCTATCCAACTTTGCATTTGCCCATATTGAAATCCATCTTCCTGATTTTTGCTTATTGTTCCCACTTGTTGTGGGATTCTCCAGAATCTTGATACTGTCCTCTAAGGCATTTGTTATCTGCTTTTGTGTAATCTCTGTGTTTTCTGATCCTCATCCAAGTAATTTATAAGTATGTTGAATAGCATAGAGCTTGTACTCCATGAGACACAACCTTCTAGCCTGATGTGGGGCCACTGATGTACACTGACTGCATACAACTGGTCAAACAGCTCTGCATCCATCTAATGGTACCACAGTGCAGCTCTCAAACCTGGATCAGAGGACAATATGCTAGGACAGCCTTCCTGAACTTAGCACCCTCCAGAATTGGGAATTCTGCGGGTCTCAGTCCTAGTCTAAAGTCAGGGAAGTTTGTGCTGCTAAACAAGAATTGTTGTTGTTCAATCATTAAGTTGTGTCCGACTCTTCATGACCCCATGAACCATATTGTGCCAGGCCTTCCTGTCCTTGAGACTTGTTCCAGTTACTTGTTCCAGCTGAGCTGAATTCTTGGTGACCATGCAGAAATGTCCATGCTTTTCTTGGCAATAATCTGGGCATGGTTTTCCATTGCCTTTTCCTGGGACGCTTTTTAGACCTTCCAGCCCAGTCTACAATCCCAGAATGTCCTGGTCACCTCCCACCTCACGTTAACCAGATCCAATCTCCCTTTGCTTCTTTTGAGATCAGCCAAGTACTGCAACTGTACTTCATACGCTTAAAATAGTTCTTAGCTCCTCTGGAGACACCTGGAAGTGCATTATATTTAATCCATCAAGTTACGAAGTTGCCCTCCCACCTTCAAAATAATAATTTTTAATATGACAGAAAGGAAAAGTTACATTCATGAATGGAGACTAATTATACAATCTGTCTTTAATTACAATTAAATCAAATGCAGTTTTTGTTTTGACAAACTTATCTCACCATTTACCTTGTCTGTTACTTATACTCCTTGCTTCCTGAAGAAAACCAGCAAAGGAATCTATGGCGCATTTAGAGGCTCCCTGGCACTCCAAAGATTTGAAAGACTGAACCACTCTGTCCAGAAGGATTTTAGCACACTTTTATCTGCCCAAACTAAACTCATTACATAAACATCTGGATCACACTTGGAGTACGTAGGTGGAATTGTGAAAGGCAAACTGTTACAGGAAGGCCTTGCCCAGGTTTGCAAGATACGAAAAAAGCAGGACCATCCGAAAGGGGGTTAAAGTCAAGATGGTGCAGCCACGTGACTGGAGGCCTGAGGGGCAGGGCTTTGATGGTCCATTGAAGTATCTCATGAGATACTGGAGAGTCATCTTAACTTTTTTGTCCCTCCCCTGTGCATGTCCCTGAAAAAGAGTCTCAGTGAAAAACTTCTTACACTTAAGGAATGCCACTGCACATCTCCCAGATGTGGAGTTTCCTACACGAGTCCTCAAGGGGAGGGAAGGAGAGAGCGCAGGAAAGGGAGGAGAGAGGCAGGTGTGTGGCAAAGAGAAAGCACTTGTGTTGTGAAAAGTGTGACAGCTGGTTACAGCAGAATCCGAAGTGTAAAAATACCTTTTAACCACAGCTCTTATGACTAGTGCAACCACCTGTCCTGTTTGTGAGCCTGCATCTTCCCCTGGGTATTATGGGCTGTAGTTTGGGCTTCTGTCACTTGAGGCCCTCTCCAGATGTGTTAGGCTAAAATCTGCCCATGCTGACTATAGGTGATGAAAACGGATCTCCAAAACATCTGGGGGGGGGGGTCCAAGTGGTGGAAGGCTGGAGCAGACCAAAGTACAGCTCATAATTTCAACAGGAAAAAATTCTGGGAAGTCTGGGTCGATGGATTTTTCTTTGAAAGACATTGCCTTCCAGAGGTTTGTCAATGTACTCCCTTTGCCTTCAAATGCTGAAGAAAGATCAGAGAGATGCTAATTTGTAGACAACGAGCCATGGACCATCCTCTGGGTCTTCTGCCCTATAAGGCAGTCCTCTGTTATATCATTTCCCACACTAAATCAAAAGAAAATAGCTTTTGAATTCAAGGTTAGTCCACTCCCCCATAAAAACACTTTTCTGCCCCAATTCTCAGCAGCATAAGACCACCTCTAATTTTAAAGATTTTTTAAAGATGCTCTTATCATCCTTTCTGGTAGAAAAAGCAGCAGGGTGCGGGCAAGGGGGTGGTGCTTGTTTCTACAAGTTGCAGACAAGGAAACAGGGCTTTCCCCCTCCCCTACTGTACATTTACATTTTTTCCTTCAAGCAGGAGACCTGCATCATTTCTAAGGCCAACTAATCTGTTGTAACATTCATTTTGTGGAATCCACTTCATCAGATTACACCCATACTCTACTCGTGTTTGCCTCTTGTCTTTATAGCTGCCACAATGCTATTTCTGATGCCAGAACTATTCTGGAAATCCTTCTAAGAAATGGATGTTGTTAGTAGTTTGTACAAGCCTCTCTCCATCCTTTGTTCACATCTCAGATTCTCGCCCTCTTGCCAAGTGATATCTCTGTAGATCCCACAAGTCCAGAAATCCTTGTGAAGCTGGGTTCTGGAGTATTTCTCCATTATTTGGCCAGCCCCTAAACTTCGGAAAACATTCAGACTGCTTGCCTAGATATACAAACTGGTTTATTTTTGACAGCCCCCATTCTGACAAGGACCCCTTTCTTAAAGAGAAAGGGAGCACAAGATGGGCTCTCTTCCATACAATGGATGGTTCTATCACCATTACCTTTGGTTAAGATTTTAGAAAGTACTGTGAGTTACTAATAATATGACTGGTTAAGAGGTTGATGGGATTCATCAGTGAAAAATTATCTAATTCATTGCCTACACTGGATGGATCTCAGTGAGCTCGTCACCAATTTCAGGGCCACAATTCTTACTCTCTGCTGGGAATAGATAATTTGCTAAAAGGATGACACCAAAGCCAGGAACATCCCTGTGGGGGTCGCTAAGCAATCTACAGGGCTGGGCAACCTCTTTCAACATGGTAGCTGCCTTTAGACCTCGTTGTTTTTCACACCCTCCTAATCTCATGCTTGCAATAGGTGATGCAATGCCTCTTTCACCTCTGGCTGAGTCTTCCTCTCTTCCAGCCAGATCTGCAACTTGTTCATGTTAGCGAGTGCAAAAGCCAGGAACTCATAGAGCTGGAGGCTGGAAGTCAAAATTCTCAGTGCTTGCTTCTCATTTCAAAATTCACTAGACTAAATATTATCTACTTGCACCACAAATCTCAGGAGCAGACAATCAAAATAGCCATCAACAACTGGTTGAGAGCTGAACGCAGCAGCTTTCCTGCACTCAGCAAGACTGAGCTGTATGAAATAAGCAGATCTTCATCTTTGCGTAATTTATTCCACCTGATATAGGGTGGAAAACGTGAAGCAAGGAGACAAGCTGAACAACAAAAGTCATGCAAGGTCTACTGGATCCCTCTTCTCCATCCACCATTCTAACAAACTCTACATAGGCAAGGCATCTTCCCAATCACAGAGGATTAGAAACATGAAAAAATACAAACCCTGATGCAAAAGGAATTTCAGTTCAGTGGATTGGGTTCAGTGGTGGACCCGTTCAGGTTCTGAATATTCCTTCTGCAACCACATCCCTTTGTTATAGCCTAGAGCTATGCTCCCAGTTAAGATGTATTTGAGAGAAGGCCCCAGTATGGTAGAACCTGCTTCCAAATGAATCTACACAGAATCAGGCTGCAGGACTCCTTTGAGCTACAAGAGCTGTGGATGGATGGAAGGAAGGAAAAACCTCCCTTCCTTTGTTCTGTGGGCATCACCCAAACCCTATTGACTTGCCCAAAGGACTCCACTGTCCAAAATAAAGGCAGTAACATCATCAAACGCTCTCTGCCTGTGTCGAGTGCAGATTCCTCAAGTGCAAGGTGTAAAACGCCCAGGGTTCAGGAACATAGATGATGCCGGGATATTTCTTCCGGAGGATCTGGTCATTCCAGAGCCAGCCAATCCAGAGGGCAATCAGCCCCAGCGTGATGATGAATGAGTAGAAGAGGAAGCGGCCGTTGCTGTCCATGACGAGCCCCTTTCGCTTCTGGTGCATCACGAGCGCCACCAGGGCAAAGGTGGTGAAGACGAAGAGGGTGAAGATCTGTCCCTCTGTGACTAGATACCTGCAAGAGAAAGGCACTGCAGGCAGCCGAGGCTTCTCTGAGTTGAAAGGATCTTCTCAGGGTTACAGAGGATGATGGAGGAGACGTAGCTTGCCTCTGGAAGAAAGCCCTGTGTGCAGGGGAACCTAGGTTTGATGCTGAAGGTATATTCTAATTTCTGACTCTTTCACCCCATCTCATCTCATCTCATCATGTACACGATCTCAAGCTGTTTTCAGCAAGCTTTAAGAGCAGAACAAATCTTCTCGGAAGGCTGCTAAAACCTGGCAATGCAGAGCTGCAGTAACAGCTACCAAAGTCCACCTCCACACCAAGAAGAGCTGGCCAAGGGGAAGGGAGTCATGTTTTCGGGAAATGCCAGGTCTTGGGAAAATGCCGAACTGGGAGAGACGTGGCTGGTTAGAGCAGAGGCTGGTGGCTGAGGGAATGCAAGGAGAAGAGAGCCCCGAAGACCCTTGGGAGACCCCACAGCCACTTGTGCACCAAAAGGAAATGAAGAATAGGGCCCTCTTTTTTCCCAGGATGAGTTTTAAACTTTGAGAGAGTCAGAAAAGAAACAGAACCAGGAATCTGAAAGGGCCTCCATGGATCAATTTACCAGAGCTGTCTCCCCCCACCCTCACTTTTCCCCCAAGAGGTAAAGGATCACTAACTAGGACTGACACGCCCTTTTCTTAAAAGTTCAAAAGGCAGGAGACTGGGCCATAGTTTGTCAAAGCTTTTTGCAGATTCTACCTCTATTCAGCCTAGATTTGGAATACATTTGCACAACACAACTGGGGTACAACTAACATTGTTCCAAAAAGGGAAAAAACTGAACTCAGGAAACTACAGAACAATTACTGTGACATCAGTACCTGGGAAAATCCTAGAAATATCATCAAACAGTGGATTTCTGAGTACTTAGAAAGGAACAATATTGGGTTCATTAAACATTGGTTGTGCCACACTAATCTGAATAGGAGTACTTGTGAGAAGGATCTAGATGTCTTGGTAGACTACATATTAAGCATGAGCCAGCAATGTACCAATGCTGTCTCGGGCTGCATCAATAGAGGTATAATATTGAGATCATGGAAAGTGATAGTTCTGCTCAATGCTGTGCTGTTCAGACCACATCTGGGATATTCTGTCGAGTTTTGGTTGTCAATATACAAGAAGGATGCTGAGGAACTAGAAAGAGTGCAGAGAAGAGCAATAAAGACAGAGAAGAACTTGGAAGCTAAATCACATGAAAGAAGATTAAAGGAACTGGGTATGTGTGGCCTAAAGAAAAGAAGGCTAAGGGGAGACATGATATCACTCTTCCAGTACTTGAAGTGCTGTCAAGGGAAGAGAGGGTGGATTTATTCTCCGTAGTCTCTGAGGTTAGGACATATTTACAGAGAGAGTGATCCAACTCAAAATGAGGAATGTCTTGACCATGAGGACTATTAAGCACTGGAACAGCCTGCCCTCTGGAGTTGTGAATGGTCCATCACTGGCAGGTTTAAAGAAAGGTTGGACAGCTATTTGTCTGGAATGGTCTTAGGATTCCTTCCTTGTGCAGGTGGTTGGGCCAGAAGACCTCCAAGAAAATCTTCCAACCTTATGATTCTATGACTGAAGCAAAAGTCGGTTTATCTGCAAATGTGCCTGGCAGCCACTCATCTGTGGCTTGGGTTGCAGCTGATATAGCCTACAAAGCCAGCCCAACAGCTTCCTCCATGTGGAAGAAGTCAGTACGTTGGACCTGTGTGACGTGGCAAAATTAAGGCACTGTGCTGCCAAGAGAGGAGATACCTCTAACAGCATTCTTGAATAACCCAAATTTTGGTGCAGCTATATTCTATGCAAATGTTGTAAACCTGTACTCCATTTCTTGACTCGTATGTGAAGGAAGCTACTTCACCACCAGAGCAGCTGCATCAGAGTTATAAAACGGTCAGCAGGTCATGTTGGCCATCCATATTGTGGACATTTGCCTGGAGAAAGAGGAATCCCAGCAACCAAACCCTTTCATGGCATTTCACCCTTGCAGGGGATCAATATAACCACCACTCCGACACTTAAAAGATTAGACCCGAGTCCTGGTTAAAACATGTTACTTGAAATACTTTGAACAGCAACTGCCTGACCCCTGAGATGCCAACCGCTTCACAAGTAGATCCTTGCCTTCTCAAGCCCACCTTGGCTCACTTACCAGTAATAGAGACTACTGGGCCCGATGAGGAGTAAAGCAGCCACAGGCATTCTTGGCTGTTGTTCTTTACGGGGTATGAAACAGCCAGAAAAATATATGCACAGGATGAGAAAGAAGGGGATGTACCTGTGAAAAGAACAAAATTGCAAGAGGTGGCAAGTGGCCAGGCAGAACAGGGCTTCCTGCCATTTGAGCTGCAGTGTTTCAGCTCTTCTGGCTTGGTGAGCGGGCAAAGTAGCTGCTTAATAGGCTGAAGAAGAGGTTCTGGAGAACGTGGAAGCCCTCACACTCTTTTCCCTGGGCCCAATAAAGACGCCACCTGGCTTCTTTTCATGCCCTCAGCGTCCACGTCCTTGGGTATCTAAAGTTCTTAGGGAGTAAGCAAGCCGTGAGACAGCCACGTCTTTTTCACTTTGGGAAAAACACCTCCCCATCTTGACCCCTCAGAAATCTCCCTGCCAGTCTGGCTGGGCATTTAAGCCAGAACAGGAATCCTGCCAACCCAGAGTAATCCTAACCCTATTCTCACTTCCCCTCACAGTTCTCCCTGCCCGCCAGCATGACATCCTCAAGCCTTTGGGGGTGGCTTCCTGAGACCAAAACTGTTGGGCGCTGCTGGATTTCAGGGTGAGCTTGGCCAGCACGAAATTTGGGCGCGGGCAGGTGAGGGCCTGCTTGGTGGAAAGTTTCCCCCAACAGTCATCTCTGCAGCGGGGTGAGCATGAACAGGAATACAGGAGGATGCAGACTAATTCTGGTTTAATTAAAATCTTGTAAAAGGGGAAAGGTGCCAAGTGGTGAGGACGAGTTTGGGAACCAACTGTGGTTGATAAAACTTATTTATATTAATGTCTTTATTAAATGTATTTCCAATCCGCCCACGGAGACCAGGGCATCAAGTGGCACAAAACCCTCAAAGATACCGTATCATAACAAATCAAACGCATGAAAACAAGGGAGCCAGACCAATATTTCAGATGTGAAGAAAAGGATTCCAGATTAAATCCCAAGACTTCAGGCTCAGGAATGGATGAGGTTTTTCTGGCTGGGGGCCGTTTCTCTTTTTTTCAGAGTAGATGTACGTGTGGCTTGGTGTTCTTGGAAAGGGGGTGAATATTTTGCCCCTGGGGGACCGGTGAGAGATCTTTTAGAGAGGTAAATGAGATGAACTAACCCTAAAGGAGGTTTAACACAATGAATGGCACAATCCATGGGAACGCCAAGGGAGACACCAAAAGGAGCTGGGCTTGCAGGCTGGCCTTGGGATGCCCACCCCCAGCAAATGCCAGTGTCTTTCGCGATGCCCAACTGCCCATCTCTTGCACCATCTCAGCTGGCAGGACCAGATCAGGCCCCGTTTATTCTGCAGCAACAGGGATGGGGAACCGGCTCCAAACACAGCCGTTCACTCACCACATCGAGTGGCCCAGATGCTCGTCGTAGTAGTATAGCAATTCAAAGGAATCGATCTGGAAAGGAAGAAACGGAAGAGTCCAGGCAGGGAAGGGGTCCAGCTCAGAGGCATTTGGGCCAGGAGGAAGATGAGTATGGGGGTTGGTTAGTTAAGTGTCTATCGGGCCCCAGGGGGGTTACATCTGGGAGGGTTGTTTGATTTTCATCCTGTAAGCTGCCCAGAATCACTTGTGTGAGATGGGCAGCCATGTAAATGATATAAATAAAATAAAAAGACAGACAAGCAGGGTCAGGATCACAGAGCGAACCAGCCTCTCTCACCAGGGTCTCCGGCTTGAGATTTTTGATGATCGGGTTCTCCCGGACGGACAGGTGGAGCTGGTAGCCGCTGAAGATCAGTCGGTGATTGACAGAGTCGCCCACCAGGTGGATGCTGGCCCCCATGACGAACACGATGATGCAGATATACACCATGGATCGGGGAAGGGTCTTGGGAGACCGCTCCATCAGCTGCGACACAAAGCCACACGTCTGAGGCTGGGGAGCAAAGGCAGGTTTTGTGCCCCTTCAGCCCCTCCCAAATTCCATCAAGCAAAAGCTGGACATCTTCTCTCCCTTTCCTAAGAGGAATCCAACTCCCAGAAAAAAAGGCGAACAGTTTCCTCCTGAAACGAATTCTCCCACTGAAGTACGTGTGCATCAATCTGCCCGCCTCAGAGGAGGAAAAGGGCCCTGTTCCCCTCCTTAGAGAGAGCAGCATCCCCCCCTTCCCACCAATGCAGAACAGAGGAAGGTCTCTGCGGCCCCCTTCCTTCTTCAGCCAGGTGCCTGTTTTGCTAACAGCCTCCTTAATGGGAATGAGCAACAGACCCAAGGCTGCCCCAGAGCTCCACCAGCCAGATTCAGCCCCACTGCTGCCCTTCGCTTTTGTCAAAAGATCGGCAACACATGTTCCCAAGTCATGCCACGAGGGGCACAGAGGACATAACTCTCACTCCAGCACAGCCAGCTGCAAACCAGGCTTTTAGTAGTTTAGCAGAACTCCTCACTGGAAGTTGGTGGCTCCTCCTCCTCCTCCTCCTCCTCCTCTTTTTATAACGAACATAAGAGCAGAAGGAATCCAGGTGGGGATGAAGCAGTGGAGGCAAGCCTAAAGGGAGGATCCTTATTTGCAGCGGAGATCTACCAGCAGGTGTTTCGTTGTCGCATCTCAATCAATACTACTTGAATCACTTGTTCCTTTATTTTCCTTAAGGGACGGATCTCTCTGTTAAAAGCCTTCTCCCTCCTAGATTTTATTCCATGCCTCATTCAACTGTCCTTTGCATAGCAGGGAAATTTACTGTCTTGGATTAGTCAGGAAGATGAAAACCAGCTAAAAAAGGCCTGACTCAGCTACATCCCCTGAAAAGTTGCCCATTCATCCAAGGGATGAGGATGTTGTTCCCAGGAGCACTCAGAAATACTGCAAACCCCCCAACATCTGTATTAAAAGGGAGTCCTGGCCCACAAGTTGTAGGAAAGAGCGCAAAGTAAAAGCGCAGCGGTTCCTAGAGTTCAAGCTGAGGAGCGGAAAAGAAAGCTATTCAAAGTACAGGTGTGGGGCTTAGTCCCTGTGGACTAACTCCAGCAGCAAAACACCGTTCCAACGCAATTTCCAAACATTTGGGAAGAAAATCATGGCACTTGCTCCCCTCGTGAGAACCAGCCTCTCTCTACCTTTGCTTAAAAAGACAACTGGGGTCCCCGGACAGCCTGGGGGTTGCCCAGTCTGGCTGGGAGGGAGAACACCTTCCCAGCGCCTAAATCAGAGCAGCCCTGCTGCCGAGAGCTCCCTCTGAGGCCCCACGAACGCAGCAGTGCAGCTCTGCCCAAATGATGGGCACTGGGATGGCAAGGCATGGATTCCTTGCTCCTTAATCCTTGGAAAAGACACTGTGCCAGGCAGTTTTACGCTTGCCAGGAAACATTTCTGTCATCAAACAAGGCACCCCCGCTTTGACTCAAGCCTCAGGGAGGATCGGAGGGCAGAGTCCCCCCCGCCCCCCAGGTTTTAAAATACCCAGCATTCTGGCTATCTGGCCTCTTCATTGTTTTTGTAACCTGCCTCAACTTCAAGCAATTTTACTCTTCGCAGCAGTTGTATGGCAAGCTGGTTACCCCTGAATATAAACATATAAAGTAAACTTTATTTCTTGTTGTGAATTCCCCTATGAACTTTAGGCCTAGGCCAGTTTATAAACGCCATCAGTATGAATCAGCTAAGGCTCAGAGGCTGCTTAACTTCCTTGCCTCTGGGACTGGAAAGAACTTGCGCCTCCAGCACCCTTGATTGGCTGGGCCTCCTTGGAATGATCAGCTGGCAACGTCAATCGCCCTCAGCCATCAGGGTGATGGGGTCTGTAGTCCAAGCTATCTGTGGACATATGCTAGTCTGCATCCTGCAAGAAGGCACCTCCCAAAGGCCTCCTTTCTGCTTATGGAGCGCTCTTAACCCTGATTCCAACACAGGGAGACGGCAACCCGGGTGGAATATCTAGCACCCATCATTAGCTTCAGATATTTTAATCTTACCCATTTTTTTCAAATGCTGGTGACAAAACTGGCCAAGAATAAATAGACACTACAATAAAGCACAACTATCTTGCAAACTGGAGCTGGATCCACTAGGACAGTGTTGTCCAAAGTTGGCCACTTTAAGATGAGTGGACTTCAACTCCCAGAATT